GTGTCCTGATCAAAATGGTAGGGTGTCCTGTGTTCAGTCCTCAGTACTGGAAAAAAGCAAACAAAAGTGATTTAGGAGAGGGTTAGACAATATGCTGTTTTTTTTTTTTTTTTGAGAAATTTGAGTAGAGCTACCCGAATTAGTAAAGGAAAGCTTTGGTTTCTCCCTCCACCTTTCATGACATCCATCACATCCTTAAATGATGAAGTTCTTTGTATATCTAAACTCTGGTTATATTGTAGGCATTGTTTCTCTCTCCCCTACCTGTTACAGGCTTATGATAACTCCCATTTTCTTTCTTCTTTTGGAGTTATTCAATTGCAAACACTTTTCACCACTATTAGCAGAGGAACGATTAGCCAGTTTCACATCTGGAGTCATCTGTATTGCTGACTTAGATATAGAACAGACTTTGGGCCTCAGGTTTCACAAGCTTTCTGCAGTGTATAAATGGGCTGGAGACCTAATTTTGTCCGTGACAGAAACCACATCTAAGACAAGACCTTGAGACACAAGCCAAAAGGTTGAAGGTACTTGGATTGAGTTGAGATGTATTTGTCTTTTGAGTTAATGGATATTCTCCTTTATACAGAGATGGAAAGGCTTTGCAATTCACCGCGCCTACCTTGAATGTCAGGGTGGCATCTGGCTAATTGAATCTGGAACTGCCACCAAGCTGCACATAATAACATGGATTGCTGTTGATCACCAATGAGCTGAAATTTTGAAAGACAGTGGAGAGGGAAAGCATGGTGGCCTTGTCTACCCTGTTTCTCCTCTTTCCCAGTTGGCTTTGTTCTTTTTGAGCCTTCTTTAGAATTTATCCCATTGATTTTGTTTGGGGGCATGAGTTGTAGATCAAGAGAGTTAGGCTTTCTCCCACTTAACAGGGCTTTGAGTTTTATCTGCTTAGAGTTAGGACCAAAGGCTAAAAGCAGCCAAAGCTCAGGAGAATAGCTAGTTTAAAAACTACTCAACTAAGAGTTGAGTTGCCTGGGGAAAGAAAGAGTGTGAATATAGGTAAAGATTTTTAAATCTTTTAAAGTTTATAAATAATGTATTTCCAGCATTTAGTGCTTTAACCCCTGTTACTAAAACGCTAGGGCAAAATTTCTAATCATATTCTTTCCTTCATTGCTAAATGATAATCTTTTCTCCCCCCTTAAAATTACTGTTCAATTTTGAAAAAAGATCAAAAATACAAAATGGTTCAGAGATGAAGATAGTGAACAGTCAAAAAGCTGTCTAGATTTAGTGAATATGAACATTTTGCCATATTTGTTTCAGAACTTTTTCTTTAGAAGTTAAAGCGTTGTAGATAAAGTTGAATTTCCCTTGGTCTTGCCTTTCTCCAGTTCATCTGCTCCCTCCTCTGTTATTCTAGAGGGAACTTCTGTTCTGAACTAGATGTGGCTCCTGTCCATACTTTTGTATTTTAGTACATTTGTGTGTCCACAACAGCAAATACAGCTGTTCTGTGTAAGTTCACATGTGCAACAGTGGCATCCACTGTACGTAGGCTGTTACTTGTGCATGTGCTTGCTCTCTCTCTCTCTCTTTCTTTCTTCTGTTCTCTTTCTCTTCTAGTTTGGGGCTTCTGCAGGTGAACTGAAGCCACATCTTTCAAGGATGACATAGCATTCCATTTTAGAAATACAATTTATCCATCTCTTATCGATGGGCATTTAGGTGTTTTTTTTTTTTTTTTAACCCAGTATTTGTTACTATAAACATTGCTGTGATGAGCATCCTTGAACTTGGCCTTTTCTGCATGTGTTGGAGTCCTACTCCCTCCTTCCCACCAATATCTGGGAGTGGAATCCTGGGGATGTGTGTCCACGATATGCATCAACTCTACTGGAGGTTCTCAGGTGTATCCCTCCAGAAGCCTATGAGACTTCTCACCAAAAGTTACTGACAGACTTTTGTTCTCTTTCTAATCTGATGGGTAGCACAAAGAGTGGATCTTCTTAGTGTTTCCCCCAAATGAGTTTAGTTTTAAGAGATTCAAAACATCTTTTTAAATTTCAGAAAATTGAGGCTCAAATTCATTCATTCCATATATAATTCATGGGGTTTTCCTACTGAGAGCCAGGTTCTATTCTCAATATTAGGGATGTGGAGTTAATAGATTGGTCAATCGTCTTAGCTCTCGAGATTACATACCAGGGCAGGGAGACAGACAATGAATAGAATAAATCAACACAATATGTAGCATGCTGATGGTAAATGCTAAGGAGAAAAGGTGCAATAGGGAAGGAGGTGGGATTTGTGTCGGGGTTAGGGAAGGAAGGGCCCTTAAGAAAGAAGGATTTGAGAAAATACTAGAGGCGGTGAGGGAGGGAATGAGCTCTGGGTGTGGACAGCTGGAGGAAGAGCATTCCAGTAAGGGGGTGGAAGTGTGAAGACTGAGGTGGGAGCATGTTCTGTGCTCAGGGGATAGCAAGGAGGCTTGTGTTGCTCAGAGAGTGAAGGAGAGAAGTAGTCAAGGAGATCAGAGAGCTGTGTGCAAGTGTGGGGAGCGTATCATGGAGGCCCTTGAGGGTCATGTTAAGGACTTTGACTTTTACTGAGTTAGTATGTTAAAATCAACTTTTTGTCACTGTGACAAAATATTTGAGAGAAACCATCTTAAAGGAGGAAAGATTTATGTTGGCTCAGGGTTTCAGAAGTTTCAGTCCAAGATTCAGCTTGTTCCATTGCTTTTATGCTGTAGTGGCAGAGTATCATGGCAGGGAACATATGATGGACCAAAGCTGCTCACCTCTGGGTGGCTGGGGAGCCGAGTGAGCAAGAGGAAGGGTCTGGGTACAAGATAAACCCTTTAGGGGCATGCCTCCAAACTGCCCCACCTCTTAGTAGCCCACTTAGCTATGAAATGATCAGTGGATTAACTTGCTGAAGAATTTCAATGAGATTGAAAGGGCAAAGGGCAGATGCAGGAAAACAATCCAGGTGAGAGATTTTAGTACATTGAACCAAAGTGGTGACAGTAGAGGTGGACAGATATGGTTGAACTTGGGAGTATTTTAAAGATAGGACCAGAAGGATTTATTGACATTGGATGTGGGTTGTGGAGGGAAAGGGGAAGTAAGCAAGGTCCAGCGTTTTGGCCAGAGCCACTGAGGAAGGAGTTGTCAGGTGCCGGAGTGGGATGAGGAGCAGAACAGAAGCATTGGAAGCTCGGTTTTGTTGATAGGCCAGTGGATCTGATGGTCTGAGCTTCAAGCCTGAGCTCCTGTTGGACACACCAGTTAGGGATTGTCAACAAATAGATGATGTTAAAACCATGAGACAGGCCAAAATGACTAAGAGAAGAGATGTAACTTTGAGCTGTAGAGGCTGAGGTGGGGAAAAGTGACCAACTGAGGAGCTGTGGTGATACACACCTGTTACTTTCATGTTTTTATCTTTTTGTTATTTTCATAATAATGTGAATCCTTTTTTGCCTTTTCACTGTGATCATATTTACACTACTGGTGCAAAAGTACATGACACTGTTGCCCCAGCATGAGTCAAGGTGTGTGGTCATCATTGTGTTCTTTACCCCACACACTCTGGTTACAAAGAAGCATGTCCTTGATGAGGCAATGAAATCTAATGATTTTATTAAGTGTTGATTCTTAAGCACATGTCTTCTTAATGCTCTGTGTGTGGAAATGGGAGGAGGCATAAAGTACTTCTGCATGTTGAACTTACAGGTTGTATAGAGGACAAGCACTTGTGTGCTTGTTTGAATTTGAGAGCTGAAATTAAATTGCTTTTTCATGAAATATCATTTTTACTTCAGCAAACAACTAAGACACAAACTCAAGTTACTAGATTTGAGTATTTGGCAGACATTTTCTTTAAAATGAATGAATTGAGCCTGGCACTTCAAGAAAAATAGCCGACAGTATTTGTTGCCAATGACAAAATAGGAGTTCTTAAGTGAAATTTAGAATTTTGGACCAGTACCACCAAGAGCCAACAGCTTCCTAGTGCTTGGAGGCTTATTTGAGGACATCAGTGGTGACATTCACAAATGTGATTTTTTTTTTATATTTTATAATGAAATGTGTCAACATTTGGAATAGCTGCATAGCTCAGTGAACCAATATTTTCCCAAATGACAATATTCCAAAATAACATTTGAATAAGAGATCCATTCAAAGTGCCAGATAGACTTCTGCTTGTAGTCAATATGGAGAGACAGGGGCACCTGATAGCTAATGACATTAAGCATCGTTCTGTGGGTATATTAGCCATTTGGATATCTTCAGAGACACGTCTGTTTAGATCTTTTACCCATTAAAAGAATTGGCTTAGTCATTTTTTTATTGTTAAGTTGTTACTTTCTTTTTGGAGATGTTCTATTAGATAAGACAGATAGACAAACAACAAATACCCTGCTATAAGTAGCATGACCATAGTTGCTTGGACATTTGTATTTTCTTGCCTCTGTCTCTTTACTTTTTAATTTCTTAATTCTTGATTTTTTGAGAGCTTGTTTGGAGGTTCTAGCAGGGGAGCGCAGCTACTCGTATACCCTTGACCGAAGAACGGTCCTCCTCTATCGGGGATGGTCGTCCTCTTCGACCGAGCGCGCAGCTTCGGGAGGGACGCACTTGGAGCGGTGAGGGAGGAAGGGGACACCCGCCTAGCCAGCCAGATCAGCCGAATCAACCCTGGCCATCAATGGGGTGACAGATGTCGCAGCCAGATCGCCCTCACATCCAATTCTTGATTTTTTGAGAGAGAGTCTTGCTAGGTAGCCCAGGCTAGCTGTGAACTTACTGTGTAGCTCAGGTTGACCTACAACTTGCTGTGTAACCCAGGCTGGCCTCAAACTTGTTATTGTCTTGCCTCAGCCTCCCAAATGCTGGGATTACAGGTGTGTGCCACCACATCCAGCTTTCTTGTCTCTGTCTCTTTAAACTTAAATATTAAAATTGGGTTTATTTCTTTAATTTTTCTCCTCAGATCACATCTAAAAGCTCACTGCTCTTCTTGTCTTGCAGTTTCATGGTGATGATATGGCATCTGCTAGCTCCAGCCGGGCAGGAGTAGCCTTGCCTTTTGAGAAGTCTCAGCTTACTCTGAAAGGTGAGTGGCCTTGTGGAAAGTGTTGATTGTTTGATGTCTGTGGGGAAGAATCATATACCACACCTTGATCTGAAGAGCTATATCTTCTGAAGGTACTTGTGAATGTAACTATTCATTCCCATCAGAGAATGTTACATTGTGGCTGGAATTCTTTCTTCTTCCTTTTTTTTACCCCCCTGTGGTTTAAACTGAGGGTTTAAACTCAGTGCCTCACGCTTACTGAGCAGGTGCTCTACTGCTGGAACTACTCCACCAAGCCCCTATTGCTGGAATTCTTAAAAAAGAAGAAAAATAACTTGAAGATTAGAGAAAAGGAACTTTTGGCTAAAATTGTCTGAACTGGTGATTTCCTTCATGTTCCAGGGCTCCTTTCTATCAATGCTCACCCTGTGAGTGATCTCATCCAACCTCATGGCTTTAAATGCCACCAATTTAAGGTTACTCCCAGATCTGTGTCTCTAGCTGGGCCTTTCTTTGGAACTTCAGATTTGAATCCAGTAGCTAACTTGTCCCCTCCACTTGAGTGTTTAGTAAACAACTAAGGTTTCACATGTCTAGAACTGAGCTCCTGACTTTTCGTTCTCATATCCTGTATTCAACCCAATCAGCAAATCCAGTTAGCTTAGTCTTCAAAATGTATCCAATATTCAGCCCTTCCCACCACCCCTCTTGTCCCAGCCCAGTGTAGGACACCTTATCTCCACCCTAGATTAAGGTTAAGGCAGTAGCCTCTTGACTGGCCTCCTGGATTCTGTCCTTTGCCCTCCTTCAGTCTGATGGTCACACAGAAGCCTGTTAAAATATAAGCTGGAAAATGCCAGGTGCCTGTGACTCACTCCTGAAATCCTCCCTATTCAGGAAGCAGAGATCAGGATAGCTGTTCCAAGTCAGACCAGAGACCCTATCTTAAAAATTACCAACACAAAAAAAGGGCTGATGGAGAGGCTTCAGTGGTAGAGTGCCTTCCTAGTGAATGTCAGGCCCTGAGTTCAAAACCCAGTACCACAGGAAAAAAAAAAAGTAAGCTAGATCTTGTCACACCTTTGTTGAAACCCATCAAAGGCTCTTCATCTCAGAGTAAAAGCTAATGTCCCCACATTTTATGAACCCGTTTGTCATTTCTGCTCAGTCACGTGGGCCTCCTCACTCTTCATAGAACATACTGAGCAGGTTTCTGCCTCTGGGTCTTTGCACTTGTCCTCTTTGAGTGAAATGCTTTTGGCTTGCTTCCTTATATTCTTAGGTCTTTACTCAGAGGTCACCCACTTTAAGGAGGCCTTGCTAACTTCCTGTTCTGAAGCCACTTCTCTCCCTAACATCCTCACATTTGTCCTCTTCCCTACTTTATATTTTTCTTCTCAGTCCTTGTCCCTGTTTAACATGGTACAGATTTTTATTTATTTAATTTATTGGCTGTCTTCTTCAATAGAATGTAGGCATCACAGGAACAGAGTTTTGTCTGATTTGGTCATTCTTGATACCTTAGCCTTTAGAACTGCCCACCACCCAGTGGACCCTTAGTGAATACTGCCAGTTAGAAAGAACATTGCTTTAGTCACCTTAGCTCTACCGTGCATTTGCAGGGATGGGGGAGCGAACTTAGTACCTGCACTCGCCTCTGCATGGTCATCAGGAGGCAACACTGTGTGTCTCTACCATATTTTTCAGTAATATTTTTTAAATGTAAATGCTACTTATTTGTTTGTGTAAGTTCACAATTATTTCTTTTCCTCCAACCCTTTAATACTCCTGCTTGGAGGAAACCAGCACTATCCATTTCTTTTGTGTCCTTTTCAAGACACACTGAAGAGGAAGCATTTTTGTCATTTTGACAGCCACACTGCCTTTCATGGAAGGAGTACTCTTAAACAATGTATGAGAGTGCCTGTTTCTCACATCTTTAGCAACATGACATGTTAGACTTTTACTTTTGCCAATTTGATTGGTAAAAAGATTGTTTTCTGGGCTGAAAGTGTAGCTCAATAATAGAGCACTTGCCTAGTTGCACAAAGCCTTGGGTTTGAGCCCCAGCACCTCAAAAAAGGTGTTTTTTTTTTTTTTTTTTTTACTATAGTTTTATTTCCCACTTCTTTAATTATAAATTATGTTTAGCATCTTATATATTTAAAGGCAGTTTGTGCTTCCTTTTCTGTGCATTGTCTATTACTATATGCCTTTTATCACGATTTTTTTTTTTGTGGTCTTGAAACATTTTAATTACTTTTCTTAGAGTCTCATATCTGTTCCAGTCCTCCTTTTGAATAGAAGATGGGTTAGAATGAAACAATAAAGTTTTTTTTTTTTTTTTTTTTTTTTTTGTAGTACTAGGGTTTGAACTCAAGGCCTCAGGCTTGCTAGGCAGGTACTCTAACACTTAAGCCACACCAGCCCTTTTTTGTAATGAATATTTTTGAGATAGGGTCTCTTGAACTATTTCCCTGGGCTGGCATTGAACTGCAGTCCTCCTGATCACTGCCTCCCGAGTAGCTAGGATTATAGGTGTGAGTTACCACTGCATGGCTAACCAGTAAGGTTTTGACTTTAGAACTATACCCTTTTCTGTCTTCCCTAGTAATTAACAAGTTTGCAAATTTGCCTGCCTATAGAACCTGGTCACACCCTAAGATCCTTGTTTTAGACCATATTATTCAGGACACACATTGATTTCTAAAGATTTGTCTCTTGCCTTTTCTCAAGACAAATTTTCTTGCCAGTGTGGAAAGCACTGACTTGGTAATATAGGTACATCTCATTATATATACATTCAACCTAAGAAGATTCAATAACATCAAGGGAAGTGTTGGGGGAAAAAGAGAAAAGAGAGACATGACAATTTAAATAGCGTAGTGGTTCTTTGTCCCCTGATTCATTGATTGAGCTGGTAGTGTAACTTGGTGGGGGAGATACTATCCACTTCACTTTATTTGCCTTAGTTGCCTTGTGCCTCTCCACAGGGTGTGAACATAGTCTTATTTTATTTTGGCAGTTCTGAAGTTTGAATTCAGGGCCTTACGCTTGCTGGGTAGATACTCTACTACTTTATTCACTCCGCCAGCCCTTTTTTTGTGTTGGGTATTTTTGAGCTAGGGTCTCACTTTTTTTTTTGTTTAATCCCTGGGCTGGACTCAACTGTGATCCTTCTGATATCTTTTCTATTCATTTATTCATATGTGCATATAATGTTTGGGCCATTTCTCCCCCCTGCCTCCATACCCTCCCTGTCCCCTCCACCCTCCTCGCTTCCAGGCAGAACCTGTTCTGCCCCCTTCTCCAGTTTTGTTGAAGAAAAGACATAAGCAATAATAAGATAGACTTAGCATTTTTGCTAGTTTGAGATAGGGATAGCTATGCAGAGAGATTCCTAGCATTGCTTCCATGCACATGTGTATTACAGCCTGAATTGTTTCATCTCTGCCAGACTTCTTCACTACTTCCCATAGTGACCTTTGTCGTTTTAAGGTTACTGTATTAGCTCCTCTACAGAGGGCGCATCAAACACTTTCAAGTTTTGGGTTTCCTGCCTTTCCCTGTTCCTCCTGTATGTGTTCTCCTGTAGCATGTGACCCATGTCCAGTAATATTATTGCATTTGTTTTAGGTCTAAAGTCTTCATATGAGGGAGAACATATGATTTTTGGACTTCTGAGTCTGGCTAACTTTGCTTAAGATGATGTTCTCCAGTTCCATCCATTTACTTGTGAATGAAAATATTTCATTCTTCTTAATGGCTGAGTAAAATTCCATTGTGTACAAATACCACATTTTCTTTATCTATTTGTCAGTAGTGGGGCATCTTGGCTGTTTCCATAACTTGACTATTATGAATAGTGCTGCAATAAACATGGGTATGTAGGTGCCTATGGAGTAACCTGAGTCACATTCCTTTGGGTATATCCCTAGGAGTGGGATTGCTGGGTCATATGGCAGATCTATGTTTAGTTTTTTAAGAAGCCTCTATATTGTTTTCCAGAGTGGTTATACTAGCTTGCATTCCCACCAGCAGTGCATGAGGGTTCCTTTTTCTTCACATCCTTGCCAACATTTGTTGTTGGTGGGGTTTTTGATGATAGCTGTTCTAACAGGGGTGAGGTAGAATCTTAGTGTGGTTTTGATTTTGCATTTCCTTTATGGCCAGAGATGATGAGTATTTTTTCATGTGTTTTTTGGCCATTTGGATTTTTTCTTTTGAAAAAGTTCAGTTTAGTTCATTTGCCCATTTCTTTATTGGTTCATTGATTTTGGGGGAATTTAGTTTTTTGAGCTCCCTGTATATTCTGGTTATCAGTCCTTTGTCTGATATATAGCTAGCAAATATTTTCTCCCACTTTGTGGGTGGTCTCTTCAGTTTAGAGACCATTTCTTTTGCTGTGCAGAACCTTTTTAATTTCATGTAGTCTCATTTGTCCATCCTTTCTCTTAGTTGCTGAGCTGATGTGGTTCTATTGAGGAAGACCTTGCCTATACCTATTGCTTCCAGAGTATTCCCTGCTCTTTTCAGTATTAGCTTCAGAGTTTTGGGTCTGATATTAAGGTCCTTGATCCATTTTGAGCTGATACTAGTACAGGGTGATAGATATGGATCTAGTTTCAGTTCTCTGCAGGCAGATGACCACTTTTCCCAGCAACATTTGTTGAAGAGGCTGTCTATTTTCCATTGTATGTTTTTGGCGCCTTTGTCAAAAATAAGGTGGACATAGCTGGGTGGATTCATATACGGGTCCTCTATTCTGTTCCACTGGTCTTTGTATCTGTTTTTGTGCCAGTACCATGCTATTTTTATTGCTATTGCTTTGTAATATAGTTTGAAGTCAGGTATTGTGGGACTTCCAGCATTGCTTTTTTTTGCTGAGTATTGCCTTGGCGATTCACAGTCTCTTGTGTTTCCAAATGAATTTTAGGGTAGATTTTTCAATCTCTGTGATGAAATATCATTGGGATTTTGATGGGAATTGTGTTGAACATGTAGATTGCTTTTGGAAGTATAGCCATTTTTAATATGTT